AAAAAAAAAAAAAAAAAAACACCGAAAAAAATCTATGTTGTGCAAAAAAAAAAACTGAATTACTTTTGCCTCAGGATCACATCGAAATTCTTTACCGGATTTAAATTAAAAAATAACTCTGGTAGCCTAGCAATTTTGTCCATTTTGGAACTTTTCCTTTCTTCACTGTTCTTTTCCTTTTCTTTTCCCTCTTTCCTTTTCCCTCTTTTCTTTTCTTACCTTCTCTTAAATCTCTTTCCTTCTCCTTGCGTCACTTTTCTTCTGTTCTATTCAACTGGCATTTTGTAAACCAAAGTCTATCTACTATTTAGTTTTTAACTCTATTAAAATTTAAAAGACTAATAAAACTGAGTTTTTTTTTCCCGTTGAACTGCACAAAACTAAATGTCCAAAATTCCCTGAAAATTTGTGTGTAATTTCCGAACCCGTACTACTACCCACCGAGAAGGACACTGCTTATCGAACAGCATTTCTTTTGTCGTAAGGTCATCAAATGTGCAGAAAAGTAGTACCTAAATCATGCCTTAGAGTGATTTTTACCCAACTGCAAGCATAAATGATCTAGTACTACTTTTCTCAGTTTTCTGCACAAATAACACTCTTAACTTCTTAAGGCATGCCAATGATTTAGTACTACTTGTGAACTTCTCCGCACATTTTATGACCTTATGAATGCCGAATGCCGAATGCTGAATGCCTAATGCCGTTTGTGAAACAAATGGCATTCCTTCTACCCTTTCTAGGTGTGCAGTAGTCTGTGTGTCCGAAATTGGATTTAACGCGGGTTTCGCGTTGAAAAATTCAACGCGCGTTGAATTCGCGTTAAACTCCCGTTCAAACGTGGGTTGAACGGGAATTAACGGGGTCCGGGATGATTTTTTTCGTGGGCTAAAAATTATCCAAAAAAAAAACAAAAAATATGGGGTTGTAGGTTTTGTTGAGGACTACAACCCTGTATTTTTATTTTTATTTTTTGATGCTTAAATCTATTTTTAAAAAAAATCAAGAACACAAACACAATGGCAGTTCTATTTGACGATATATATAGTTGTAGATCTTTCAAAGATGTACAACAATGTATTTTTTATTTTATTTTTTTGGAACTTCGTGTATTTTAAAAAAAATCCAAACCATAAAAAGCAGATTGAAAAAAGGAAACACACACACACACACACAAAATTGGGCCTGTAGCAGGTTGCATGAGTCTGGTGTCAGTTGGTTGAGGGAACCCAGGTCCTGGGCCGCCTGTGTGAATGTATGGAAAGCAGGCCCTGGGCTGGATACGGGTACTGGGCCAAACACAGGCCA